TCCTCCAGCTTCTGAACCAGGGACTTGAGCAGAGGGATCAGGTTTTGTTGGATTTCCAGGTGTGTGCCATGTGAGACCCCACTGATGCCATAAAATCTGGTTGTCTGATAGTTCTCAAAGCACCGTCGAGAGCCCGAGAAAAGCACCTGAAAACCAGCACAAAGCAGAGAGAGGCCATTTCGTGCCTGCCAAGAACATCATTTGAAAAAAAGCCTCTTCTTGAAAACCTGATATTGCCAGTTCACACTGTTCAGTGACTCCATGGGATGTTACAGCCCTCTGCCTCAGGAACTTAAAAGCCTTTTCCAATTGTTGTCCTACAGCCCCCAACTCTCAGTTTTGTTTTTTTTTCCCACATCCTTCAAGCTGATAGAGAAGCTGTAAGGTGTGATTTTTTTTAACTGCATGACTTGCATTTGATGTCCTTCCCGTGCCAGTTTGCTGTTGTTTTGCAGGGCTCTGATCCCTGGCTGGGGTGTTCTTGGATGATGTTCTCAGAGCGTGGCAGCTGCCTGTGCTTTTGTTAGACAAGCACCACAATTGCTTTTATTTGCAGTACCTTTGCCTGCTGTGCTTGGATGATTGACAAGTCCCTCAAATATTCCAGTCTGGTGTGGGCAGTCTCCACACTGGCTTGTTGTTTCAGGATCCATTCCTGAGACTCAGAGGCGAGGGCAAGCATGACCTGGAAGAAATAATACAAAATATAACTGCAAATCCTGGCTTTCATTGCCCTTCTCACACGTAATTGGGCCAGCCACCATCTGGAAAGCTGCTGTGACAGCTCTGGAGCACTTGTGGCCATGTAGCCCTCAAAGAATAGCCACAGAAGCTGCAGATGATGCAAAGAAGAGCTAAGATGAAAGCTTCCTGGCAATATGTTTGCCACCCCATCAGCCAGTAGAAGGCATTGGTTTTACATCAGCAGGTCTTGCTGGGGTAGAAGCAGGTGCCTGCTCTGCAGGACCAGGTAATGCTTGCCTGGAGAAGCACTGGGGATGTTCCTGGAAGTGGGAATACCTCAGTACAGTGTCTTTGAGCACAGAATGTTCTGTGATGGGGCCCAGGTTCAGCCCAGCAGTGACCTCACCTTTCTGACCCTCAGCTCTGGTGCTGCCTCAGCCCCTGGGATGTGGCTCCTGCTCCTCTCTCCCTCTCTCAGCTGCAGGAATATCCGCTCTTCTTCCAGTTCCATCTTTTCCATGAGCTCCACCAGCTTCTCCAGTGCCTTCCTGATCTCCAGCAGGACCTGCATTTCCCGTTCTTTCTCCTCTCTGTCAGCTGTAAGAAGCCAATATTAGCAGAAGCACCCACCTGAGAATCCACTGGGAATTCCCAGGGCAAACCTCCAGTCATTTCCCCTCTGTGTGATTCACACCTCTACACTCTTCATCTTTTATAACAGCCCCATTTTCAGATCCTACCTCTGGACTATCTTGCTTCAGGAGGACACAAGTAATTCCTGAGGCTCAGGGTAACCTGGCAGAGGGATCACCCAGCACAGAAAGCAGTGGGGCTGGAGCTGCCCTTTTGTACCTTTGAACAGCACAGACAGTTCAGTGGCCACCTGGCTACCAAAATATTTGGAGGTTCGTCTCTCAGCTTCCTGCAGAGAGGAGACTTTCAGAAAATGGCACAGTTCCTCAATGTCTTCCAGTTTTTCCTTGAGCTGTGTCTGTAAGAAATGGAAGAGGAGAGGGAGCTTTAGATGGTGTTGCCAGCTCAGGAGATCAGGAATTGGTGGGAGGCATTTTCCTTTGCAGAGAGAGCAAGAGCTTGGCTGACTGGGTTAATGCTTTTTTGTAGCCTTGTAATTATTCTGATTGTGTAGGAACTGGTGCCAGTCCCCTGTCTCTGCTGGATTTCACCTGCTGGTTATTCCATGGGGACACCTGCCAGCATTCCTCACTCTGGGAATGGCCACACTGAGGCAGCAAAGGCTCCATTTACCTTTTGGTTTTGAATGGGGAGGGGAATAGCTTGGATTCAGAACCATCCCATCAGTGATATCTGAATTTTTGATACATGTGAATCCCCAAGGAATTTTTAAAGAACTTTCCTGGAGCCAGCTCCAAAAAAAAGGCACCATACCTGTTGTGCCTTCCCCTCTTTCACAGCATCAAGGACATCAAGAAATAGAGAGTTCAGCTTTTTAAGGAGCCCTTCTTCCTTTTTCCTCCTGCAGTGCCAGTATAAATGCCTTGACTTTATTTCCTTTTCTAGAAAGTCCAGCTGTAAAGCAATGAAAGACACAACAGCTTAGCTCTGCAGGAAGCTGAAGAAGGATTATAAATGTGATTAAAGCCAGTGATGACAGCTCCTCTCAGTGCCTTTCACAGCATATATCCAACTTTGTTGCCACAGGGGGTGAGTGTTTGCAGTCCTAAGTCTGTGCATGTTATAATTCATGTCCAAATCAGTGTCCCAATATCTTGGGGTAGGGGAAAGATATCAAATAGACTTAAAAGATCTAGAAGGTACAAAGACCAGCAGAAAAAGATAGAAATAGAAGGGGGGAAAAAAGCAGATAATGAAAAGAGAAGTATAATGACATATTTCTGTCATCTTGTACTATAAGCAAATGTTACTTGTGGGGCAGAGAAATAAGTGAAATTTCCACCCATAGTAGAAAAGCCCCAACAAAGAATTTCCCCCAGATAACAAACCTGCAAGTAAAGAGAGTTTGGGGCTTTGTTTACCAGATCTGGATCTGTGGCTTTCCTGGGTAAAGCTCCAAGGGACTGAACAGCAGGAATCACATTGTGTGTCCAGGGGTTTCTTTGGGCACCTATAACAGGCCCAATTTCACCTGTAATTGGACTTATGGCCCTGGCACCAAAAGTGATGGGGACGAGGCCTGTGGGTAAGGAAAAACTAAGTGTAATATTTAGAATTTTAGACCACAAATGCCACATTTTCCATTCAGAGTCGAGGTAGAAACTGCTCTGTTTTGGTAGGGTGCTTTATTGTGTCTTTGTTATTTGTTGTTTACAGCATCCAACTCAATTTCCTTCTCTACCTTTTCCATTGGTATCTTCCATGGTTCCTGCAAGTGGGGAGGGCTGCCCAGTGTTCCAGTCACAGTCTATTCCCAGGATTGGCACCATCAGACCGGATCCACTGGGATCTGGGATTTCCATTCCAAACACTGCAGGGATCCACATCTCTGTGCCAGGGTATCTGATCATACCTGGTTCGTTCAAAAGAGACGAAAAACGTAAAACACTGAACAGGTTTGTGATGGAAAGAACTGTTTTCCCTTCCAGGGGGCTGCAGTGCTGTTATTCCTGCTGCAGCTTCCAGTTAATACCTGGCTGGGGGCATCACCAGCAAAGCTATTTTGACAAAAAGCTTCCTGGAAGTTTGAGGTGCTGTGATGGGATCACAGAAGGTGCTGAGCTGGAAAGGACCCACGAGGATCATCAAATCCAAGCCTCAGCCCCGCATGGGATCCTCCCAGGAGTCACAGTGGTTTCACTGCTGTCCCCTGTGGTGGGATGGCATGGGAACAGGCTGCTTGCTTTGTACCTACCCAGTTTTCCCCCGTTGCTCCTGATCCTTGCAGCCACCTCCTGCTTTTCCCCCAGGCTCTGCAGGCGGTGCAGCACATGGTGGCACTTGGCGGCCAAAGACTCCTCCAGCTCCTCTGCTGCAGCCTTCAGTGCTGCTAATCTGTCTGCTGCCAGGCAGGAACCTTCCAGAAACGATGCCTTGAAGCGCTTTAGGGCGTCCAGCACTCGGGTTTGTGCCAGCAGCCAGTCGTTCTCCAGCACAGCCTGGTACCCTCCGGCGTGGGGCACGACCCGGCCCTGCTGCAGGTGAAACCCCTGCACCCGGCACAGCTTCCCACTCAGAGGCTCAGTGAAGGAATCTCCAAGGAGCACCGGGTGTCCAGAAGGGCCCACCAGCCCACCGAGAGGTAAAACTTCTCCTGCAGTCAAGGAACAGGAGAAACAAGGACAGAACATCACCTGGGGTCCAGCCCTTCCCTGCCAGGAAAGGGCACCTTGAGCGTTTGCTTCAAGGGAAGCAGAAATGGGTTTGATGGGAAATAGGGAGGGGAACTGGGGATTTTGAGGTCATTTGTAAAATAATTTGGCTCACAAAATGTTCTTAAATAAGTCCCCTACTTCCTGCTTTACAAAAAGGTTAAGGTCCCCACTCCTCCTTTTGGGTCTAATATATATTCCAAAATAAATGATAAAGAGTACAGATATGTGAAAATGCTTTTTAAAAATCTGGAGCTTCACCCTCCCTGAGCTTCTTAATGATGCATTTCATGCTACTTTATTTAATATTGCAATAGAGCAATGGGACCATCTTTAGGTCAAATCAGCTTCAGTGGCTGTGTCATAGTTAAGGAATGATGACCTCAGGTATCTCTTACAGAGTCACCAGATAGTTTTAGTGAATTATAAAGTGATAAATTTGTGAGTCTCAGATAAATAGCTTTTCAAATTAGAATTTATTATATGGTAAAAGCAAACAATGCTGTGGTGACAGGAGGAGACAGAACCTCTCCTAGGCCTGCCACCCTGATACAGGCATGAGCCTGATATTTATTCCAAACATCCCATACATGTTCATTATATCACATGCATATACATTGCTATTCCAGGTATTCTACAGAGGTTTATTCTCACAGCTAAGACTAATTTATTATCTCTACACCAAGTTATAAATTCATATGTTCTTCCATAAGAGGTGCCAGCCAGCTTTTTGACCTGGCCCAGTTTGGACATAATTCCTGGCTAGGAGGACAGGGAAGGTTGGTCTGTTTTCTGTCTTTATGGGGGTGCAATTAAGTTTTACAATCTCTTTGTTTTCCCCTTTCCTAGGATGACACAGATTATCACCTGTGTTTATCACGAATTGTAAAGCAGAACTACAGGAGAGAGAGAAGGATTAGCATCTGGAAAAGACCTACCAGTGCTACCATCCAGACCAACCCCGAGGATTGGGACGATCTTGCCTCCCTCTGGCTCCATCATGGGCCCCCAGAGCTCCAGAGGTGCCAACATGCCCGTCAGGGGGTTCAGGTACGTGCCACCCACCGCCAGGCTCTGCCCCGTGCCGGGGTGGATCGTCACCCCCAGCACTGGCACTTCCATCCCCGTCGCTGGATCCCACATGAGGCCTCCCATGCTGGAGGTTTTCTCGGGACACAGGGCTGGGAGCTTTGTCTCCACGGGCAGGTCAGTGCTGGGACAGACCGGGTAAGGAAGGTAGGGGAACACGGGCACTTCGGGCTCGGGTCGCCCTCCTGCAGGCAGGACCAGGGGAGATTGGCCGTGGTTATGGGGAGTGTGGGAAGGCTTTTCAAATTTAATTCTTTTGGCTTTGGCCATTCCCTAAAAGCTGCGAGTTTCTTAGCATTTAATTTTTATGGTTTAATGAACGGAGGGGCTGAAATCTGTCAGAAATTAGGAATATCTCAATGCTCCCTTGTCTCCAAGCCTTGTAACACCAAATATATCCATACAGTAGGTCTTACATCTATCTGAACAGCACCACCTTCCAGGGCCATGCTGATGAGAAGCATTCTCAGATTTTCTTCAGGTTCTGTCACAGGAAAAGTACATTTGAGTGCAGCAAACTGGGCTGTTTGGTTTGTCCTCTGTTTTGCTTTAACCAAACCCCCCCACCATAACTGTGCTCCACAAACAGGCAGTGGGACCAGTTGATGGTTGGATTGTGGCACTCACCCGAGCCAGAATCAGCAGCACAGACCAGCCTGGAGCTGGTGGGATCATAGCCAACATTCCCAGCTAGGGGAAGCACCTTTCCAGTCTGGGGGTGCAGGAAATGGTGGCTGGGAACTGGTCCAGGGCAGTGACTACTCAGCAGGAGGGAGCAGTGAGGGAAAGGAGTCAAGAGCCCAGTGATGGGATCCGTGTAGACCATGGCAGGTGCTCCAGCAGTGCCATTGGAGCCTAAAAACAGGTCACAACAGGTGGGGAGGGGGGAGAAGAAACAACCTGTAGGTCTTGCACAATGTGGGAGTTGTGGGAGGGGGTTTATAAAAATCATCTGCAAGGGCAGGAAAAGGGTGAGAATAAATAAACTGAGCTTTTCTCCTTTTACAGAAGGTGCCTGGGGGGAAATGCCTGCAGCACGTGGCAGTTCCATCCTCTCTCTGCCCTGTCTGCCTGAGCTTCGTGACACGGAGGGGATTGATGGTTCCTAAATGTCCACTCAGGGGTTTGGGTTTCGTGGCCTCAATCTGCAACAGCCACTGAAACATCCAAGGTGGGTTTTGTTGTCCTGTTTTTACTTCTGTTCCTCTTCAAAGGGTGAAAGGAAGAGGGATCTTGGTGTCTGGGTACCTTTTACAGTTTGTCACACCACAACACAGGTGAGAATGTCAGAAAACAGCCAACAACACGAGAACAAATTGATTGCACTCAGTGAGTCTCGCCCACAGAATAGTTCATTGCCCTCTCCATTGCTAGGAGATAATTAGCCAGTACTCAAAGATCTTAATGAGTGCAAATCTGACATTCTCCCTGAGAAACAACAGAGAAACCTTCTGCTGATGGCTTTGCTTCAGTAACAACCCCTGAATTCACAAGCTGCTAGTGGGAATTCGAGGAGGATGTTTTCTGAATACTCTCTTTTTTGACTTGGCTGGGGGTTCCTCTGTGACCTGGCTGCTTTTGGTGACCTGTGTTTTCTCAGCTCTGCTGCCCTGCCCTGCCCACACCTCCTCACACACGAACACAGCCTTCAAACAGGTTTCTAGAGGCCGCAGTTACCCACGAGCTCCTGCTTGGTGAGTGTCCTGCTTTGATCCTGGCTCAGAAGGGGAGCTCCTGTCCCTTCCCCCAGCACTCCCCAGGCTTTGAGGTGGTGACTCTCCTTCAGTATTACACTTGACATCCTGCTGATTGCAGCCTCCACCTGGGCCAGCAGCCTGCAACTCAAGAGATAAAATAATTATTGCTGAAGGTGAGGTAAGAGAGTTTAAATGGAGCAGCAAAGGGAGGATTTTGGTGGGTATACAAATTATATCTGCATTTGGCAATTAGAGGGCTTGATGAGTATTTGCTTTGGCTGGTGGAGTGAAAACAGCACTTTGTGTCTCTGTTTTCTGTTCATCACACCATTCTGATCCTGCCAGTGATCAGGGGTGGCACACTGGCTACAGCTGGGGTGGCATCCCAGAGCCACGGCCCTTGGGACACTCAAAATAGTCCTGTTCCCGAGATTCCGATGGGAATCTCCCCAGCTTGTCTCAGCCTGAGATTTTTCTAGATTTGTTTTAAATAGATGTGTGAGAAATATCTCTCCCTTAAATCTAGAAGGACGGCAAAAACTCACGAAACAAAAAAGAATTTGTTCAGCGTGCTGGGTCTGGTCTCACACTGAGCTTTTGGGGGAGAAAAGACCCTTTGGGTTTAATTTTCATACATTTTATAGTTTCACAAAATTCCACCCTTTTCCAGATAAGTTGAATATATTCATTTTTTGCCTAAAAATGTTTGTTTTCTCTGAAAAGGGGCTTTTCCCTTCCTTCTGATTGGTTGTGAGGTGTCCTCTGTCAAAGTGATGGATTTTCTTTATTCTTAGTCCAAAGAGAGAAAAAAAACCCCTGTGTGCAAAATTTCCACTTGGCCGCAAAAGATTTTAATTCTTAGGAACTTTTATATTTCCCTTATCCAACCTAAAAAGACTCTGATAGCCAGGTCCAGTTTGGAGCTTGGATATCTCACAACTTCGTGATACACCTCTAAAAACCTGTATTTTACTTCTCATAAATGTGAAAATTATGATCTGCACCACCTGATCTGCTGGACTGAGGATCAGTTTTAAACTTGCAGGTGTTGGCATTGCCAACCACAGGCCAAAAAACCTGTGGGGCTAGGAATGCTTCCCTCGCCAGGGCAGGAAAGCTGCAGATAACTTTGCCCTTTGTTGGGTACCTTGTGCAGCCTCGTGGTTGTTCTCCTCCAGGAGCTGCTCCCTCTGTGAGTGTCTGTGCCAGCCTGACCCCCTCCCTCAGGGCAGAGTTGAACAGGACACAGTTCTCCTCCTGCCACTCCAGCTCCTGCTGCAACAACCTCATCTGCCTGCTCAGGCTCTGCTCGTACCCAGCAGCCAACTCCTTCCTTCGCTGCATCTCCTCCTCTGCCTGGGTGGGATAAAAAAATCCAGAAGTATTTTCCTTTATTTTTATTTATTTATTTATTTATTAAATCCAGCTGTGAGCAGAGCTGGTGACTTTTCTGCCCTTTGCTAAAACAGCAAAGATGAGAAATTGAAATGATTTAAAACGATTTTGGTGTGTCCATTGGAGCTGACAGCTCTAATATGCTGAATTACAATTACCCAGCTCTGAGCAGGCTGATAACTCAGGGCATCCTTTTAACAGGAGATATAATAAGTCCTTAATGAAAATTGCAGCTCCTTACTGTGTTGCACACGTATTTTCCCGTGTGAAACCATGGGTATATTTCTCTTTTCGAGCCATGAAATGGTTTCATTCAGTGGAGCTTTAGTGACAATGGAACACTGCAACTCCCAGAAAAATCAATGAAACAGATCACAGTGTATCTTCCTTGTTAAAAATATTGACGTATTGGCACAAATATTGACACAAAGACGAAAATATTGCAATATTGACAAGTTACATTGTCTATTTCAATATAAAGTCAATGTAATTAACTGACAGTGCAATAAGTTATGATGTAAACACTTTGTGATGTGAAAAGAGAAGCTGCAACACACACTGGAGCAGATGAATTTACAGCTGAAACCTCTGCAGAGACCACCCCCCAGAAGAATTGGGGTGCGTGGATGTATCACATTAAGAAAATAATACTAATAATAAATAATCTGTCAGAGATGAGTTTCTGTGTCAGCACAAAGCAGCAGCTTTAAATGCTGTCAAGACCCAGCTGCTCCCACATATTCCAATTAACTGTTTTGCAGCCTGTGAAATATTAAATCTCTGCAGTTTTAAAAGTGATGTTTTATACAACCAGGCCTAAAATTTTTAAAAGAGAGTCCTGAGAATTTGTTATTCTATGTATAAATGTTATTCTGTGTATAAATGCTGCTGGACTGAGCTCTACCTGCTGCTTTGCCTTTGCACAACCCTCTGTGCTCTCAGCCTCCACCTTTCCTGGGATACTCAGAGTCTCCATCCAAAGGTTTTTCAGTGCAGACATTTCACTCGTGAGCCTCTGATACAGGATTTTTACCTGAGGTCCAAAACAAAAAGAAAAGAAAGGACCACAAAAGGTGATTTGGAGTCTCCCTTCAAAAAAAACACCCCTCTTTATAGAACCAAAGCACAGCTGGTGTCAGTTTTCAGCACAAACACATTAATGCCCTGTCTCAGATCAGGGGACAAGGATTTCTCCACATTTTTTATCTGTTGAGTGCTCGTTGTAATCCAGCTCCCTCTGCTGTCCTTTAAACCTCACGTGGAGTTACATGAGGACCACAGGTGGATTCATCCTTAGGGCTGCAAAAGGCTCTTCCATCTCTTTCAACTGAGATATTTCTTATGAAATTCAAATAACCTGCTCACATGTTACTGTGTGTTCATTTATTCTTTTCTCCTCAGTTTAATCTGCAGCTCTTCAGTTTGTGACCAGGAAATCCATATTATTTTTGTTTTACAGATGAAAAATTGAAGCTGGAAGATGAAGTCATTTTCCAAAAACTATATCAGGTCAGTACCATGAGAAAACCAAATTATTCTGCCTTAAGGTCACTGCTTTCCCCACCCTATTACATGTTATAAACAACATGAGGATATATTTGTATTACGTGCTCTAAAAAGGTGAAAGTTGAAATAAAACATCTACCTAGTAGCCAAAGGTTAATGAAAAATGGTAACAGATAAAATTATGTGTTTTAGGTTCTTTCTGCATAAAAAGCAGCCCCGAACAGGATTTACCTCTTCTTTGAAGTGGCCCAGTGAGGCTGTGACAGACAGGGACTGTCTCAGCAGCAGCTCAAAGAAGGCATTGGTGTTAAAGGACTCCAGGTCGATCTGTTCCTCAGGCTCCCAGCCAGCCCCTCTCCTCGGGAAGCAGGCTGAAACACGGGGACTCAGTGATTAATTTGATTTATTTTTGTTTTTAATCCCAGACTGGTTTGGAACAGAGATGCCTGGGACCCCCTGGGTTCAGCAGCCTCTGCCCACTGCTGGCCGTGGCTCTGGGGCTCTGCTGGGGCAGGAACCCGCCAGAGCCCCTGGGGTTTGGGGGTTCTGTGCCCTGACCTGTTCCACGGGTGCTGCAGGATTCCCCAGCCCCCCTGCCCTGCTGCTGCAGCCAGGGGTGACGTTTTCTGATGGAAAAGACTCCTGGAATCTCGGAGGAGTAGCTGTCCAGGTTGTACTGGAGCTGCTGCCTTCGGAATGCAGGGCAGGGGCTGCCCCTCTGGGACCAGCCAAGGCCCTGGCACAGGAGCTGCAAAACACCACAGAGTGAAACAGGGGAGTTCCTTTTCCTCTTTGGACACGCCCTGTCAGTGTGTGATCCACATGTCCCTCACTCAGCCACCAGGATCCATCCTCACCTGACGAGCGAGGACCCCCAGAGTCTGGTTTCTAAATATATCATTCATTTATTCTAAACCAGCAGAATTAGTAATCCCAGCAGATAAGGCTGAAGCCAAGGGGAAGGAAGTGCAGTTATCTGCTGTTTGCATCTGCTGGCTGAATAAATCACATTTTCTCCCATTACCTCAGCAGTCTGACTGCAGAAAAAAAAAATATCCTGTTGAATTCAGAACATGCTAGGAAAAAAAATGAATTACTTTGGGGGGTTACCAGTCTGAAAGACCATCTGGGGTTTGAATCTCAGGTATTTTGTGGTTGCTGGGACTTCTGTCTGAATAAGGAAAGCAAACCTGAACGTTGCAGAAACTTATTTATGGCTGACAGTTTTTTTTGTAAAAGCTTTTCAGGACTTATTTATGTTTTCTTTATTTTGAGGCAGGTTTGGTCAGGCATTTAAACCAAAAAAATTTAAGTGTCGTCTTGTTGATGAATCAGAAAATGGGAATGAAGTTCATTTATACCCTGAATGTCTCCAGGTGGCCCATGTGAGAGGTAAATATCCTGGGGCTTTGGTGGCACTGGATCAATCCATAGGGACGGATTTTACCCCATATGTAAAACATGAGGTTGAGTTACAAGTAATTCTAATTTTCAGCTTTATGGGTGATGCTTAGGGGAGGAGTCACTTGTGGGGTTCTTGCCTAAAATCTTATAATATCCTTTAAAAAACCCGAATTTTGTGCGACTCTCACTTACTGTCAGTGCCACAGAGGCAACAAGCAGCAGGAGGAGTCCTGTGCTCACTCCAGCAATTGCTGCCCAGTCAGGTTGGAGGAGGAGCTCCCTTTTCCTGGCCATTCCCACCTGGACAGCAAACCTGGGGGTTGGGGGCAGGAAAGGCCCCTCTTCATAGCACTGTCCTGCCGGGGGCATCACCCTCAGGTACTGCAAGGGAAAGGCCAGTCACAGGTCACTGCATCTCACTGAAATAGGCACGAGGATTTATGTAAAAAGGGTCATTTGGGCTGTCACAGAGTCCAGGCTTTGCAGGAGTTGCATCATTTGACCCCCATATTTAACCCCCTGCTTAACTCACCTCTTTATTGCTGCACTCACCTGTACAGTATATATATTTATATATAAATATATATATATTTTTATATATATTTATTTTTAAAACTTCCTGCGTTCCAAACATCCACGTGGAGCATGGGATGCTGTGCCAAGAGGGACAGCCCCTGGAATGCCAAGATTCCTGGATACAAACCATCCTCTTGTGCCTGTTGCTGCTCAGGTGGAGCACGAAGGTCCCGGGCTCCTGGAACTGGAAAAGGAAGAGCAGGAATTCCTGGGAGGCCTCTCTGACCTCCTCCCTGAGGCTCCTGAAGTCTCCCCAGTCAAACTCAGCGTTGGTGTTGTACAGGTTGTTTCTAGGAGGGAAAAAGCAAGAGTTTTCCTCACTACTCCTGGTTTTTTTTGGGGTGTAGGCTCATCATTCCAGCAGGGAATTACTGAGCTGTTATCCATCACCTCAGGGAATAGCTGAGCATCACTGGGAGTTTAGGCACTGAACTTTTAATTGTTCACACACCTCCAGTGTTTAATCACCCTCAGTTTTATTTTGGGCTGCTCCAACCACTTTCCTCCCCCCCAAAAAAAAAAAAAATATATAAAGTACCAGCAATTAACCCCAAGAAGGATGTTTAAGCTGAAAAATGATGTTTATTAACAGTGCAAAAATGACTGGGAAACCTTACAGGTGTTTGGTCAACATGGAAACCAGATGGAGTTTCTTTTATTGATTACGTATCCCTGGTGTTATTTGTGATTTGTAATTGGATGAATGGCAGAAATTAAATCAAAATAGGCCATAGGGGAGGGAACCCACAAACCCGCCCTAAGAAATAACTGTCCCACAGGCAGAGCTCCCAAGGCTCTCAGAGCAGTAGGAACTAGCTGATAAAAACCTGAAACTTAGCTCCAATAAGATCTTAAAACTTACTGGCTGCAAAAAAGGGAAGACAAAGTCAGCTGGAAGGACAATACAGGGTAAGTCAGGAGAAGCCAAGTTGCAAAGAGTGGGAACACAGGTCAGAAAGAGCATCAGGAACAGCATGTGTAGATTTAATTTTGCTTATTTTAATAGGCCAGTGTTAATTTGTGAATGACTGACATGCTGTTTCCTGCCATGCCACAGCCTTCTCTGTGAAAAATGCGTTGAAGTGCATTTAATAATGAGAATTCTGTTCTTTTTAGTCGAGTTTTGTCTTAATTCTGTGTGGGAAAAAAGTGCAAAGCTCCTCCTTGTTCTCTGTAGCTGATGTAAAAGGGCACTGGCTGAGTCCTGTTTGTACTCACACATCATAAACGGGGTAATGCTCCTTGGAGACCACGAACAGGAGGGTGACGTTCCCACTGAGGCAGGTGATGGGATTCAGGATGCCCGGGAATGCAGCTCGGGGGGTGGAGTTGGGAGGGCTCAGGCTTTGCTCCCAGGAACCCCCCAGTTCTTCCTGCCCAGACTTATCTGTAACACAAACCTTGTTAAGTTTGGATCATTACTGAGCTTTTCTCTCCACAGAACAGCTCAGGAGAAGGGTTTTGTTTGAATTCTCCACCAGCAGCCTCTCCAGCAATCAGCTGGTGAGTTCTGTTGGATTTAACTCCTGTTGTTTCCTACCTGGGTCAGTGCTGATGTGACAAAGCACAATTAAATCTTAGAGGGGTTGTATTAAATACCTGCTTTGGAGTGTTGCAGAACTCACCTGGGGCTGTTGCTGAAGGAGGGTTGTTTTTATGATGTGATGAAGCCTCGTTCATCATGATGAATTTGTGAAACACTTGAGGGTCAGGATTATACACCCCTAAAAATCCTCTCCCTTGAAGTGGTACAAAAAAAACATTGGTCACTTCTGGGTTTCAGCATGTTGAATTTTTCTTTTCCTTCTATAGAGTGTCTGCTCACCAAAGGCCCCAGGTGTGACTGGCAAAGTCTAAACCCCAACTGAATACTTTTTAGTACATTCTTCTCATTCTAGGGCAGGGCTTTAAAATGCTTGGGCCTTACTCAAAGCCTTTAGGGTTTGTTTGATGTTGCAAGACCTGTTCCTGAAGTAGCAACTGGTTTGACTTGGCTGAAGCCAATGAACATGTGCAAAGGGCACATGGGCAAATGATTCTTTCCTATGGTTTTTCCTAAATTTTCACCTGGGCTGTGCAAATAGTGCTCTTGGTTCTGGAATCCTGGGGGGGGGGGGGAATGTTTAACTGCTTCTGATTCTACTTGGTGGATTTTCTACATGAAAATCTGAAGCACAAGAAAAAAAATCTGTACAGATAAAGGACTGGAAAGGGAGTCTTTTGACAGGCAAAGAGATTCTCCATCTCTGTTTATCGTAATTCAGGGACTGGGGGGAAATCCCTGAATATCTGTCCTTCCCTATAATGCTGGAAACACACACATTTCAAACCAATGTTCTGGGATTGAGTGGGATAAGCTTTGCATGGAGTGATAAACTAATATTGCTGCATGCTCTTGGGATATAAGCAGCAAAATTTCTTATTATTTGTGTTTTAAATACTCTGGAAAGGCTTATTGTGACTAAAACCCTTTTAATACCCTGCTAATGCTACAGCTGTTGTTATTCTTTCCCTTACCACTCATCTCCACAATGTATGTTGGATGGGTGGATTTGCCTTGCTCTGAAGCACAGACATCTTTTAAAGAGAAATATGGTCTTAGTAGAACTGTTCTTAAGTCTTCTAAGAAAACAGCAGCCTAAAAGAAACAGAGTTCAAGAATTATTTTACATTCTTTTTTCTCATAGTTGGAATATCAGACCAGGTACAAAAATAGTCCGTGCGTGTAATAGAATATTTGGTTTGGTTTATTCTATAATTTGCTAAGAAAAAGAAACAAAAGATGCTATTTGGTTAATGATTAGTGAGAATTTGGAGAGCCTGGCAAAACCAGGCAGGCTGTGGAAGTTCCCCCAGGTTTTACCTTGCTTCCATTGCTGTGGGTGAGGAGCAGCTGAGCTCTTTTCCCTGCACAGGTGAACTGCAGGGTGTCCCTTTGCTGCCTCCTACACTGGGAGTCACACACCCCCTCCAGGCTGTCCGTGTGACAAATGCAGAGGCCAAGGACCTTGTCATAGCCCTGGTA